TTAACCATTGTCATAGGGCAATATGTGTACTAACTGTTTAATGAGAAACTATTTGTTCTGCAAACCTTCATCTAAGGTACAAAAAAAAATTATGTTGGATCAAACTGACAACAGCAACTCAGAAGGTTTGATGGGAAGCCTAGGGGACAGTGAGTTGAAGATAATGCTGATGGAATAATTTGGAAAAGAATAGTGAGAATAGCAGCACAGCTGGAAGAATGTAATCGATGTCACTGAATTGTACATGTAGAAACTTTCGTAATGGTGTAACTTTAGCTACGTATATTTTCACCAAAAAAAAGTCCTCAAGGTCGAGAAGGGAGTGTTGACACATCATGGGGTTCTTAACCAACGTCATAAAACAATATGTGTACTGACTGTTTAATGAGAAATTATTTGTTCTGTAAACCTTCATCTAAAGTACAATAAAAAAATTAAAAAAAAAAAAAGTCACTTTGATGACTAAGGTGCGCCTGACTCAAGCCATGATGTTTTCAATTAGCTTCACATGCCTATGAAAGCTGGACAATGAACAAGGAAGACTGAAGAAGAATCTATGCATTTGAATTATGGTATGGGTGAAGAATAATGAACATACCATGGACTGCCAGAAAAACAAACAAACCTGTCTTGGAAGAAGTACAGCCAAAATGCTCCTTAGTGAATCTTTGTCTCACATACTTTAGACATCTTATTAGGAGGGACCAGTCCCTGGAGAAGGACATCTTGGTTGATAAAGTAAAGGGTCAGCAAAAAAGAGGAAGACCCTCAACGATGTAGATTGACAACAGTAGCTGCAACAATGGTTTCAATCATAGTAACAATTGTCAGGATGACACAGGACCAGGCAGTGTTTCGTTCTGTTGTACACAGGGTCACTATGGGTCAGAACCAACTCTACAGCTCCTAACAACAATCGCACAGTAGTAGCATAGATGACTTTCAAAATCAACAACAATAATTTGGTCTGGGGCATGACTAAGATTCAAATGAGTACACTGATTTTAACGTTCCTCAAAATATGTGTTGCAGCAATAAACAATCTGAAAGGGAAATTAAGAAAACAATTCCATTTGCAGTATCATCTAAAAGAATACAATACCTAGGAATAATTTAACCAGGCAGGTGAAAGATTGTATACTGAAAACTATAAAACATTGCTGAAACAAATTAAAGAAGACCTAAATAAATGAAAAAATATCCTGTGCTCATGAATTGGACAACTAAATATTGTTAAAATGGTGATACTACCCAAAGTGATCTACAGACTCAACAAAATCCCTATCAAAATTCCAACAGTTTTTTTTTTTTTTTTTTCAGAAATGGACAAGCCAATCCTCAAATTCATATGTAATTGCAAGGGGCCTCAAAATAGCCAAAACAACCTACTGTTATGTTAGAGATGGAGAGAAAAACAGAGAGAGAGAAATTTATTTTAAGGAATTGGCTCACATGATTATGGGGGCCGGCAAGTCCAAAATTCATAGGTCAGGTAACAGGCTGGAAACTTAGGCTGTCTTGTGTCCAAAACTGGTAGGCCAGGAGGTAGGCTGGAAATTCTGAAAGAATGTGAATTTACAGTCTTGATGCAAGAATCCTTCTCCCTTGGTGAACCTCAGTTTTTGCCCTTAAGGCCTTCAACTGATTGAATGAGATCCACCCACATTATGGAGGGTGTTCTGCTTTACTTAAGGTCAACTGATTTAAATGTTAATTACATGTAAATACCTTCATAGAAACATCTAGAGTGGTGTTTGACCCAACACCTGAGCTCCATAGTCTAGCCAGGTTGACATGTAAAATTAACCATCGCAAGGCTTCTCTCTTACAGCTGTAGTAGAAAATATACAGGCATTAGGGTCAAACAATCTTGGTTAGAATCCTAATTCCACCTCTTGTTAGCTGTGTATCCGTAGCAATTTATTTGACATCTCTGATTTTCTTAATCATTATAGGGAGCTTAGAAGGTATTAAATAGTATGGTGCATCCAGTTTATTTAATAAACGTATGTTCCTTTCTCTCTGACACCTTCCTCTGAGACCTCCATCCATCCCTAGCATTCTAAAGTCAAAAACTTCTGAGCAAGAGAGAATATGGGACCGAGGATGAAATTGAAACCGAATTTGAGACTCACATTTCCCTAAATCCATTAGGCTAATATAAAATTTTAGCAGCATATATGTCTTTAAAAGTAGTTACATCAGTCAGGAAGATTGATCATCCTTTTTATCATCAACCAGATAAAACCAAGAGAAATGTCAGATTAATCTCTATGATTTATAATTTGAGTTAAATTTACATATGCAGCACGCAAAAAAGATTTTTAAATACCGGGACAAAATTACAGTATTTAGATCGGAAGATAAATCCTGTCAAAAGATAAAATTCTTCTACTAATAATAATTATTATAAAAATAATTTAGGGTCACTTCAATATATAAGGAAAAACTGAGGAAAAGCACTAAACCCTTATTTTTCTGTCTGATAAGTTTCATTAACTTTATTCTTTTAAATACTTTCTGATGTTTAGATGAGCTATTATTCTCTTGCTTCCACAGAAACGCATGATTAACATGGATCAATCTGTATCTCTTTAACAGGGACAAGTGACCCTTACGTGAAGTTTAAAATTGGAGGAAAAGAAGTTTTTAGGAGTAAAATAATACACAAGACCCTCAATCCTGTGTGGGAGGAAAAAGCTTGCATTCTGGTTGATCATCTTAGGGAGCCGTTATATATAAAGGTGAGCCATTTATTTCTTTTTCCATGATGGAATCTGACATAGAAACTCAGTTTAATGCTTTTTTATCATGTCTGTTTGAAGAGCTTTTTTTTTTTTAAAACCAGAGAGGTACTTCGTTAAGCACAACTCTAATCTGTTGATAAGGTGGTAGAAATGAGATTGAAGGGAGGGGAAGTTAGTGGGAACATTTTTCTTCTGGAAAGTTCTACTGCCAGTCATTTAGGAAGATTATGAAGTACATCTCCTGCTTGACGCTGTTAGCAGATCTAATGCACTTTGATAACATATGAAAACAAGCCTCTGTAATTTCTATTAAGAAGGAAAGCTTACACAGAACTCAGCTTTTCTGTTTAAGAATTATATCAAGGGATCCACCATGCTTGGGAGGAGAAATACATGTCTCTGGTGGGACAGTGGTTAAGACATCAGCTGCTAGCGGAAAAGTTCGGTCCTTGGAAACCTTATGGAGCAGTTGTACTCTGTCCTGTAGGGTTGCTACAAATCGAAATCTACTTGACGGCAACAAATTTGGTTTTTATGGTTTTATTATATTACCCAAAATGAAAACAGTCTTTCCTCTCATTTTATGTAGTTAAAAAAATTTTTTTAGGAAAGTGTTACAACCCTGATTCCTTGTTTTATTTTCATGTCTGCCTTCCCTTTTACTAATAGCTTTTGATAATTATATTCTTTTTTTACTCCTATGTTCTATTCAGTGACCAAACCATTTTTTACTTTTACCATAGCATCACACACTCCATCCTTTTCTCTAAATTGTCACTATTAGCACATGAGCTCACAAATCTCATATAATCACTCTTTCAACAATTTCTGGGCATCCTCCCTCCCTCACCTTTTTCACCCTGAATTTGTATTGCCCCCAATTGTGTCCCACCTACACAGACAAAATAAATCAAGATGTTATTGAAATTATAGAAGAACATTTTATAAGACTGATGAAAAGCCTAAGCATACAGTTGATATGTTTCTAGAAGTCACTCTGGGGAGAGTAGACCCACATTCGCTTGAGAAATTGGCTCAAGTGGACATTGGCTAAAGGAAATCAATGAAATAGAACTACTAAAGTATTTAGTTGTCAGTAGTGTGTAATGGTACAAGAATTATTCACCTAGAAGTGCACACAGCTTACCCCCTCCTGCCAGAGGAATGAGCTTCGTAGTCATGATGTTTCTCCGCTTCTCCTCAGCTCTCCTCAGAGAAAAAAAAACTACATGAGAAAAAGGAATTACCTTCACAATGCAAAAAAGTTGAGATAGGGGATGGAAAAGAAATAATGAAAAGTATGCTGTAAGGATGTTTTATTCCAGGGGGTTTAGAAGAGATGAGTTACAGCAGCTGCAGTTATGAAGAAAATGTAGAGGAAAGGAAAACAGATGGTAATAGGGATAACAATGCACTGTTTGGATCTGTTTTGATGACCCTTAAGAGAAAAATCATGAATGAAAAGGAATATGATTTAATCACTTTTGCTGTGGATCTCTATGTTTCTTTAATATTGGAGACAGTACACCAAGAAAGAACCATGTGGATCTCCACTTTATAAGTGGGTTACAGATGAACTTCCCAAAATTACATTAGATATTGGTTGGGTTCTTTTACTCTTCTCTTGTGCACAGGAATGAAAATTCATTTATGTAGAAATCCAAAGTCAAAGTGCATATTTCAAAAGAAATATATTACTAAGCTCAGAAACCAAAATAATCTGAAGTACACAGAAAAGAAATTGGCCAAAAAAAAATTGCCCTTGTTTGAGAGAACAAGATATATACATGTACTATGAACAGAGACAGTGACATTGTAGGCTAAAAGACTTGGTTAAGGACATATGAGCAAAGAAGCTAGGAGAGAGAATCAAAGGATTTTTACCACTTTGAGTATTCAGTATACAAGATCATGTGGCCACAACTTAACTTTTACAATGCAGAAGATGATATATAGTGAATTTTAAAAGATTTGCTTACTTTTTTCCATTTCTACATAAGAAAAACAAGTATGAAATTAAATAGAAACCACATTGGCCTCTCAGATATAAGTAAAAACAAAAAATTATAATTATCTTTTTTTTATTGTGCATTAAGTAAAAGTTTATAATTCAAGTCAGTCTCTCATACAATAATTTATACACACATTGTTATGTGACCCTAGTTGCTCTCCATATACTGTGACAGCATACTCTTTCCACTCCGGATTTCCTGTGTCCATTCAACCACCTCCTGAACCTCTCTGCCTTTTCATCTCACCTCCGGACAGGAGCTGCCCATTTAGTCACATGTGTCTACTTGAGCTAAGAAGCACACTCCTCAGGAGTATTAATTTATGTCCCGTAGTCCAGTCTAAACTTTGTCTGAAGAGTTGGCCTTGGGAATGGTTTTAGTTTTGAGATAAAAGAGAGTCGGGGAGCCATGTCTTCCAGGGTCCCTCCAGTCTCAGTCAAACCATTAAGTCTGGTCTTTTTACTAGAATTTGAGTTCTGCACCCCACTTTTCTCCTGCTCCATCAGGATCTCTCTGTTGCGTTCCCTGTCAGGGCAGTCATCGGTGGTAGTTGGGCACCATCTAGTTCTTCTAGTCTCAGGATGATGCTGTCTGGTTTATGTGGCCCTTTCTGTCTCTTGGGCTAATATTTTCCTTGTGTCTTTGGTGTTCTTCATTTCCCTTTGCTCCAATGGGTTGGGAAAATTGATGCATCTTAGATGGCCGCTCGCTACCTTTTAAGACCCCAGACACCACTCACCAAAGTGGGATGCAGAGCATTTTCTTAATAAACTTTGTTATTTCGATTGACCTAGATATCTCCTGAAAGCATGGTACCCAGGCTCCACCCCTGCTACTGTGTCCCTCAAATTGTATGGTTGCATTCAGGAAACTTCTTAGCTTTTGGTTTAGTCCAATTGTGCTGACCCCCCCTTTAGCGTGTGTTGTCCTTCCCTTCACCTAAGATAATTCTTATCTACTATCTGGTTAGTGAATAACCCTCTCCTTCCTTGCCCACCTGCATCACCATCAAAGAACGTTTTCTTCTGAGTTTAAACCTTTTCTTGAGTTCTTATAATAGTAGTCTTATACAATATTTGTCCTTTTGCGACTGACTAAATTCAGCATAATTCCTTCCAGATTCCTCCATGTTATTAGATGCTTCACGGGTTCATCATTGTTCTTTATCATTGCGTAGTATTCCATTATGTGAATATACCATAATTTGTTTACCCATTCGTCCGCTGATGGGCACCTAGGTAGTTTCCATCTTTTTGCAATCGTGAACAGTGCTGCAATGAACATGGGCGTGCATATATTTATTCGTGTGACAGCTCTTATTTCTCTAGGATATATTCCAAGGAGCGGGATTGCTGGATCCTATGGTACTTCTATTTCTAGCTTTTTAAGGAAGCGCCAAATCGACTTCCAAAGGGGTTGTACCATTTTACGTTCCCACCAACAGTGTATAAGTGTTCCAGTCTCTCCACAACCTCTCCAACATTTATTATTTGGTGTTTTATGGATTAATGCTAGCCTTGTTGGGGTGAAATGGTATCTCATTGTAGCTTTGATTTGCATTTCTCTAATGGCTGATGATTGTGAGCATTTCTTTTTATGTGTCTGTTAGCCACCCGAATGTCTTCTTTGGTGAAGTGCCTGTTCATATCCTTTGCCCATTTTTTTAAATTGCGTTATTTGTCTTTTTGTTGTTGACGTTTTGCAGTATCTTACAGATTTTGGAGATTAAACGCTGATTGGATTTGTCATAGCCAAAAAATTTTTCCCAGTGTGTAGGTTGTCTTTTTACTCTTTTGTGAAGTCTTTTGATGAGCATAAGGGTTTGATTTTTAGGAGCTCCCAGTTATCTAGTTTCTTTTCTGGTGTTTGTGTGTTGTTACTTATGGTTTGTAAACTGTTTATGCCATGTATTAGGGCTGCTAGCATTGTCCCTATTTTTTCTTCCATGATCTTTATCATTTTAGATTTTATAGGTCTTTGATCCATTTTGAGATAGTTTTTGTGCATGGTATGAGGTATGCGTCTTGTTTCATTTTTTTGCAGATGGATATCGCATTATGCCAGCACCATTTGTTAAAGAGACTGTCTTTTCCCCGTTTAACGGACTTTGGGCCTTTGTCAAATATCAGCTGCTCATAGGTGGATGAATTTGTGGATGAATTTACATCTGGGTTCTCAATTCTGTTCTATTTGTCTATGTATCTGTTATTGTACCACTACCAGGATGTTTTGAATATTGTGGCCATATAATAAGTTCTAAAATCAGGTAATGTGAGGGCTCCCCCTTTGTTGTTCTTCTTGAGTAATGCTTTACTTTTCTGGGGCCTCTTCCCTTTCCATATGAAGTTGGTGATTTGTTTCTCCATCTCATTAAAAAATACCGTTGGAATTTGGATTGGGATTGCATTGTATCTGTAGATCACTTTGGGTGGAATTGACATTTTCACAATGTTGAATCTTTCTATCCATGAGCAAGGTATGTTTTCCCACTTATGCAGGTCTCCTTTGGTTTCTTGCAGTAGTGTCTTGTAGTTTTCATTGTTAAGTCTTTTATGCCTCTGGTTAGATTTATTCCTAAGTATTTTATCTTCTTGGGGGCTATTATAGATGGTATTGATTTGATGATTTTCTCTCTTCGAAGTTCTCTTTGTTGGTGTAGAGGAATTCAACTGATTTTTGTGTGTTCATACAGTATCCTGATACTTTGCTGAAATCTTCTATTAGTTCCAGTAGTTTCCTTGAGGATTCTGTGCGGTTTTCTGTGTATAAGATCGTATCATCTGCAAATAGAGATACTTTTACTTCTTCCTTACCAATCTGGATGCCCTTTATTTCTTTTTCTAGCCTCATTGCTCTCACTAGGACCTCCAGCACAATGTTGAATAAGAATGATGATAAAGGACATCCTTGTCTGGTTCCCATTCTCAAGGGGAGTGCTTTCAGACTGTCTCCATTTAGGATAATGCTGGCTGTTGGCTTTGTATA